CATAAATATTTTTATCACTTGCATTTGAAATGAAGCCAACCATCGGATTTGTACGAGTCCGACTGGCAACTGCTAGGAGCGACCACAGGACTAGCCGCAAAGACCAATTCAAATATAAGCTACAAGGCTTAGGACTAAAGCGTCGCGACTTACGTGTTAAATTAATTTTTTCGTTCCATTTCGTTTCTCGTTTTCCGCGGCAATGCATTGCGGAATTTGTTCAACGCTTTTGTCAAAGCTGCGCCACAAAAATTGGGAAAAGGACACTGCCGGCTTATCCAGCGAGCGGGAAAGACAGAGCCTGTTCCGTCCCCAAACTAATCTCGCTAACAGACCTAGGACTAGGAGCTTTGCTTAAAGTACTAGCTTTTAACAATAATGTCAATGCTATTTAAAACAATAATCGTGACTTAATATTTCAAATATTTACAAAAGTTATGCCTTCTTCAAGTTTACATTTTTGCATACCTGTGTCGACAAATTGAAAGGACTTTACTAAACCGTATCCCAAACAGACATAAAATAGTAGCTGGGAAATCGTTAATCAACAACGAGTTGTAGTTAAAATAAAATATAAAATGCTTACAAATTTCATTTATAGATATATTTTTTGCAACTAAAGAAAACAACTTTATGAAATGAAATGCAGATTAATTGTGTAAATTGGGAAATATTATTTAATTTATTGTTATTATACCTTGAAATATATATTAGAGTTCAAATACTATGCATTAAAGGCAAAAGGTGGGGTAGAAAGTTAAATTCTAAATAGCGATTATTTTCATTTAATTTGTGTACTAAATAGAATCTTAAGTCCTGTACAGAAATGTTTCATAAAAAAGAACCTACATAGCTCTATCAAAAACTTTTCAATTAAAACTTAATCGCACTTTTTAAATTGTTTTTTTGTTTGTTGTTATTTTAATCTATGACCCAGGAATAATCCTTTATTTGTGGGTTATTTATTTGTTTGGCTCAAAAATAATTATTACCGGTTGAGTTGTAAATTAGACCTAAAAATATTTTGAGCAAATCAATGAATAATAAAAAGTAATCACTACTTTATAACTTGTTTAATGAAACTTTTAATGATTACAGTCCCTGATAAATATAACATATTTTTAGAAGACAATTGTTTCATATGTTATTTAACATTTCATAACTTTTTTGTGCGAAATACACTTGAAATTCCCATTAATATTTTAGAAAACGAATAGAACCACTATCAACAGAAATAAACTTAAATGCGCCAATCGTTCGTTTGACAGAAACTATATTACAGACCACCGATTTGAAGAGGATTCAGAAAGAATTTCAACACTTCTATATCAGCTACATTCAATAATTAGGTTATGGTTTTCTATTAACGTGATTTTGCAGAAGAAGAAAGTGAATTAGTTTCAGGATTAAATGTTGAGGTGGTTTTCTTTTAATTTTTTTTTTTTAGCAGAATATGCAAGAATTTTATTTATTATTTTGTGTAATTTTTTTTAGGTTGTGATGTTTGTATTTAATTTAATATTTTATGTTAAATTAACTTTTATTTGGATAAGACAAAATTACATGTACATAGGTGTTATGTTTCAAAAGTTCTCAATGTTCATACAGACGGACAAAAAATCATTCTTTCGGACTTTCAATTCACGCTCCATTTGTAACGCATAAAAACCCAAATGCTCTTTCCACTTGGAATGAAAAGGAATGTGGAAAGTGCAGCTTATTAGAAATGTAGACGATTACCGGGCCGCCCATGCTAGCGTAATCAACTGCAGATTTTGTGCTCGTTTCGAGCTATATACTTGTATCTGTAACGACATGCCATTATCGTTACTGGGTCCCATGTGATTTGGCCACAAAATCTCAACTGAACATTTGCATTTTGAGCAGCGTTCGGTGGCCGACGAAGTGCTGCCACAGATCTGGACATTAGTTGCAACATTTGTATGCGTCGGTCGGTCGGTCGATTGGTCGGTCAATGACGTTGCCTGCCACTGACCTTTGCGGGCTGTTTTCGACTGTCAATGGGGTCGACCTGCACATCAAATGCTGACCATGTGTGACACACACACACACACACACACACACACACACACACACACACACACACACACACACACACACACACACACGCTCTTTCCCAATTCTTCTGTGGGTGGCAAACTACAACTATACTTAGACTCGTTTGTACATTCTTTGATTAATTTTCTGAGTGCCCAGTCTACCTTATCCTCAGTGTTTGGCAGCGTGCAGTCCCCTGTCCCCGGTCCCCTGTCCCCGGTCCCATGTCCCCGGTCCCCAGACGCCAGTCCCAGACGCATGCCGCACAAAAAGTTAATCGTTAGTAATTTATTGCCCGTTGTCTGTTCGAGGCAAAAATAGGACAGGAGGGCGGGCCAGGCCAAGAGTAAGACCAAGACCAATACCACTACCAAGTGCAATACCAAGACCTGCTGGCAAGGTGCGGAGTTGCTAAGGCCAACAACAAATAATTGGTTTGTTAGCTGAGGTGGGCGTGGGTGGGCAGCAACACTCGCCATCACTCCCCTCCACTCCCCACCCCCTCCACCCATCCACCCAGCGGTCGCTTTCTTCTCCTTCTAGCCAGATAGCCCGGCATGGCATAAATGACCTGCTGACTTTGACAACAAATATGACCAGATTAGGGGGCAGGGAAGTGAAGTGAAGGGGGAAGGGAAGGGGGGGGGGGGGTGGAGAATGGAACTCTGCTAGCAATCCAAGTGTATGCCGAGGTGTGTGGGTGGGGCGAAGCATTCAAATGTACCGTTCAAGTGTTCAAAGTGTTCGTGCGAATAAAACACAAAAAATGTGCGACAAACGAAATGAGAAGAATGCACCATCAAAGGGGTGGTGGCAGGAGGGGGGCGCAAGGGGGCAAGGGGCAAACGGGTGTTTGCCAATGACCAACAACGAATGCATTGAACTGAGTTCATTGTGCGCTCGATAGCGGGTGTCGGACTTGGATCGCTTTTTAGAGCCACACACATGCACAGCACAATGAATGCAATTGAATAGAGCCAGAACACAGGCAGGCACACACAAAAAAACACACACACACACGCCAACACCCATCCACCCATACAGATGGCAAGGCATCTTCTCCAGAGTTGACTGATAAAGTGGCTCTGCATGCAGAGCAAGCCTTTGAAGGATTGTCCAAGGGCTTTCGATTTTTATGCCCCTTTATTAGGTTCTAATTGCTTGCAAGAATTTCAAGAAAGCTATACGAAATCATTCTCTTGACTAGTACATTAATTTATAAGAAATCTTATTGTCGTACTAGGACTTTATAAACAAATAAATAAATAAATAAAATAAAAAATAAAGGCCCAGGAAATTCGTTTGTGAAAGCGATTCGATTTTTAAAAAGTTCAGAGCCGAACTCAATAATTGTCTGCCGACTTGCTTACGTTTTAAAATAATCTATCGGACTATAACTGCCCTCAAGTTCTGGGATTAAAAAGTTGGAAAATAAAGAGTGAAAACTCTAGGTCGACCAACTTTTGTTCGTCCCATGGGAGTGTCCGCTGAAGCGGACCAAATGTTCTAGAAAAAGTGCCCACCTAAGAGAGGTCTCCATTACGAGAGTTTTCACAGTATTTGTTTCAAGTAAATGCATTTAAAACATTTAAATTCTGCAGCTCTTTAGATTTTGGAGAACTATATCGTATCCATTTTTTTTTTTTTTTGAAATTTGTGTGGTAAAATGTAAATAGAATATTTTTTAATTCCCAAACACTTTTTCCGCTCTAGTATAAGAAGGCAATTAGATTTTCATTGTTTTAGAATACAACATATTTATTAGGAATAGCTTTTGCCAACAAAATGCTTATTAGGCTAAAAAAAAAAAAACACAGCAATATATTCGAATCGTTAGCTTTGATTTTTAAAAATTAAATTAAATTAAAAAAATTATGTCGTTTGAGCAAAGGGTTTTCAAATTAATTCGAATGTTATGTTATGATTTAATTTGAATAGATTTGTGTTTGTTTTTATTTAGTTTTCAATTAATTGTCCCTTTTTTATTTGAACTAAATTGCAAATGGAACTGTTCAATAATTACGCTCGGCAATCGCGTGATTAAAAATGCAGACTCTTGTAAGAATCATAAAATGTTATTAATGAATGATGTCTTGCCATTTTTTAAGTAATAATTCCTAATTTTAAAGCGGTGCTTTCAAAATTAAGCTTTCGAATCGCGTGATCATAAAATTTAGAGTATAATAAGAATCATAAAGTGTTATTAATGAATGAAGGCTTTCCATTTCAGTATTGTAAAACACGTCTTATATATTTCTCATTCTCTATCGCTTATGGGAGATACTTATATTTTTTTTTATTTGTTTATTTATTTATGTCAACAAACATTGACTGTCGACATAGGAAATAGTATATAAAAATTATAAAAAGCATCTTATAAGCTAGAAAAGCCTAAGAAGGGGAAATCTAATCAAATTACAATAATATCTAATTAACGCCTCCGACCCGGTGGGGGAATACCTGTATTATTTGCCCTTCGGCTATATCTTGACTGTTTCGTCATCTTTCACTTATAAAGCAAGTTACAGGGCTTTCAATCTCAAATCTTCAGCCATTTTTTCATTACTCTTGAACAGTATTACAAATTATGATATAGCTGTTATTCATTAATTTTCTTCCCTACTATTTTTTCCCATATCTTAGGGGATGCATAGTCTTCTATAACTTGAAATAGTTCGTCATCTTAAACTGTTTATTATACAGAGCTTTCAATCTCGAACCATTTTATCTGAAAACTTGTTTTCTTTAGTAGTTTTCTAATATAATTTATGCAGCAGCTCTCTAACTGATATTCCTTATATATACAGAGATCAGAGTTCTAGTTCATCATCCAAGTATTTGCTGACATTTGTTTATCCACATGGGAGAACTATACCTTGGCATTAGCATCTCTTTAGAGACAGTTTATTCGATCTTGGCTAGGAATTTTGGAGTGTACTCACTTTTGCATTCGTTGGCGTCGTTGTCTGTGGCTCGTCCCCAGGGTCGATCGAAGTAGAAGGGCTTGCAGCGTTCGCATTCGGGTCCGGCTGTATTGTGTTTGCAGGCGCAGGTCATGGCCAGCTTGGCGTTCAGTTGCAGAGAGCCGCCTAGCGGGGAAGAGAGGCGCCCGAAGCCACCATGTCCGCCGTCGTCGTCGTGGCCATCATCGGCGTCGTTGGAATAGGCGTTGTTGTTGTTATTGCTGTTGCCAGGCAGAACAGTGGCAATGCACTCGGAGGCATGTCCGTTGCACTTGCAACGACCGCCGACAGCAAAATCGGAGACGGCGTAATGCTGGGAGATAGAGAGGAGCTGTTGCATCGAAGTGGAGGCTGCGCCGGCCACCGGCTTGGACGCCTTTGTGGGCGGAGAAGTGCTTTTGGCAGCCACGGTGGTTGTGGTTGCTGCTGCCGCCGCCGCCGCTGCCGCAGCCGCTGCTGCTGCCGCCGCCTGCTTGCTCTGAAAGTGTTTCTCATAGACGCTGCCCTTCTGCTTCTTCTCGCGCTTCATATCGGATGTCTGGACCCCACTGCCCAGATGACCATCATTGGCATAGTCGAGATGGAGGTCATCGTCGAGTTCGAGGTGCTTCTTGGGCTCCTCGTAGTCCTCGTCGTAGGCGGCGCTGTCGTTGTCCTGCAAATTGTAGTCGTACTCATCATCCTCGTCATCATCGTGGCCATCCAAGTCCTCCTGGCTGCCCGTCATCTCGTCACTGAAACTATTCGCATTGGCCTTGTTCGCCTTCTCGCGGGACAGCAGCAGCTGCTGGGGCAGCTCCAGTCTGTGGAAGACAACGCGTATGTCTGTGGCTGTCACCCAGTCCTGCAACACCAGCGACGAGTCCAGGTCGTTGGCCGACGGTCTGCCCTCAAGGGTATTGAAGGCGAACCGCTGAGTGCCGGCGCCATCGTGTTGGGAGTTCATGCAACGGGCCTCCTGCTCATTGAATTTGCTGATCTTGGCACGATCTGGTCGCCCGTAGAACTTCTGGCATTGGGAACTGTAGAATTGGAAGGGTTGCCAGGTCTGGCCAAAGTCTGAGCTCTTGTAGATGGCCAGGGAGTCGGGACGTGGGGCGCGCGGACAAAACGATAGACTTATGTAGGTCAGCTCATATTTCTTACCCAGCGACAGGGTTAGGGTCACATTGTCCGGCGGTGCGGTGTCCAAATCATGCGGTACGGGCACACTGGCCGAACGCCAGCAGGTGACATTGCTGGGATTGTTGAGATCGGTTAGCGCATTGGCAGCGAATCGTTGCTCCAATTTGGAATTATCGCACACCCGACACTCCCCGACACTGCCATCCCGATTCAGCTCACAGAAGCGTTCCGGCTGCTGAGCACCACAAATGCTGGAGGCCTGCACCGGATTCCCATATGCGGCATTCACGAAACTGGGCAAACATTTTCGCGGCTTCCCCTCAAAATAGCACGGATCATTGGCGCTGATGGCGGCGCAGAGGCCGCCGAGAAGCCACCCACAGCAGCACCACAGCAAACCGAGTGGAACCCACAGCTGCCTGGTCATGGTGGCGGAACGAGACGTACAAAGGCCGCAGGCAAAGGCTGGCTGGCTAAGTACTCTGGACTCCGCTGGACTCCTTACGACCTCAACAAATGTATATTCTAATGGAATTTCACGTTTTTAATTAAATAGTCGGGCCGGGCCGCCTTCAATGTTCAATGTGATTCTGCTCGTTGTTGTTGTTGTCGCTAATTGACTAGCTGTGGCAAGGCTTAAAGGTTTTGTGGCATCCACACTTTAGCCTGCGGCTGTCGGACGACGCCGCCACCGCCGCCTTGGCTCGTTAAACGCTTCACTTCAGGTCTGTGCCTCTGCGCCTCTGTGTCTCTGTTCTTCGATTGTTTGCTTTGTTTGCTTTGTTTACTTGTTTGTTGTTTTCTGTTTTCTGTTTTTTCTGTATTTTCTGTATTTTCTGTTTTGTGTTGGCTTGGCACGCCGGTTCGCACGCACACGCACACACGGACACGCACTCGCACGAGGATCTCCGTCGGTGAAGCAGGAAGGGATCGTCACGACACAAAAACAAAAACAACAAAAATTACACAAAACACATTACACGCGCGAGTTTCGTTTCGTTTCGTTGCGACTCGACTCAACTCGACTCGATTCGACGACAACGGCGTCAGTTTGTCTGCCAAACATGCAGCGGTATTTTGAAGTCTTTTCACAGTCGATATTTGAATAATACCTGCGGAGACCGAACTTCTTTCTAATTGGCGGCCGTTCAGGTAATAAAACGATGTCACTTTGTCTGCCACGGCCAAATAAATGCAACAGCTGCCGCTCTTTCTCTCTCTCTCTGTCTGTCTGTCTCTGTTTGTCTTTCTCGCTCGCTCGCTAGCTCGTCGCACACTTGTCACTTGTTTGATTTTGATTTATAAATTTAGTGTTGTTGGCTATTGTTGGACAGCAACACGCGGCCACACGTACCAACTCGTTCAACGGCCAGCGTTGTTCTGTCGCCTGGCTTCCCGAAATTCAAATTAGCAGCTCAAATGTATGCTGTGATAATTATGTTGAGTTTCAGTTTCAGTTGCAGCTGAATTCACCACTCACTGCTCAATGTTGTTGCTGTTGTTATTATTGTTGCTGCTGCTGTCGTTACGCTATGTTGCAGCGACAAATGTTGCACATGCTCTTGAATATGTTGCCACTGACACTGCTGTTATTGGTTAGGCACCCAAAAAAAAGCAAAAAAAAATGTACGTAGGTTTCAACACCTCGTAGCTGTTGTTGTTGCGTTTACTGTTTTCTATGCGCTAACGCGTCTGCGTCGTTCTGCACCTGGCAAACGTTTGTTCGATACTGAATGCCATGAAGCAAGCAGTCAAGCAGCCAAGCAGCCAGCGACACAGCATCTCTGTTTTGCCTTTGTGGATTGCAACTTGCTCGCAACCCTCCCTCTCCCTCTCTCACTTGTCACGCTGTTCGCTCTCGTTCTGGCACGCTGGCTGCATTGTTGTTGTTGTTATATTTGTCCGGCTTGCCAGCCGGCTCTTCAGTTTTGTGGATGTAGGTTTTGTGCCTGCGTTCCACAAATTGTCGCAGCAGCATCTGCCAGCAACACAGAGTGCTGCTAACAAATGTTGCCGGCAACAGTGCGTTCTAGCTGGAAGAATGAATGAGCTTGGCAACATGACTTGTTATATAGGAATTACCATCTTCAGTTGATTTCTTCTACAAACATAGTATTTAAGATTATGTTAGCCCATTATTGTCGCAACCTGCACATATACTCGTACATTTGAATCAGATTCATTGAAAACGTCTTCAATATTGTTATTACCAATTTACATACATATTTTTTTATGGTTTTGGTTTTTGGCAACCTGCCCAATACAAATTGTTACTAATGGTCCAAACTAGTTTTGATTAGGCGCCTTTTTTTGGTCATTGCCCCGTGTATGTATGTCGCTGATTTATGATGCGCAGGAAACTCGCCGATCTCGGCGATCCGGCGATTTCACCAACCATGGATCTGAGGCCCAACTTTTCGCTTGTCAACTCAATCAACGAGATGCAAAAAACAAAGACACTCCATTTATGCCATAACCTCGTTTTGTGCGCGCTCGCTTTCAAAACTTCCGCTGTCATGACGGCTACCTACGGCTACTCATCTGCCCGTCCTACAGTTCCATCTTCCATTCCCTGCCATTCATAAGACACAATCTGCGGACCAATATGCTGCGGCACACAGCCACACACTGGCAGGCACAAGTATGCACACGCCTTTGTCAACTGACAACTGGCTTTTGCAAGAAAATGCAAGAATTCTGTTGGAAAAGTATATTTTAATACTTAATTATTTCAGGTTAACTCTCTTGAATTTCTTTCGCATTAATTCACATATTTTTTTATCAATGTGATTATTTGTACTACCAATATTGTAACTCTTTTTAATATTTCTTTAATGTTAACACAGCACTTTTAAAATCCTTTTAAATTCGATTGAGTTCGATTCGTATAGAGACTTTTTGCACTTCATTTAATTGCTAAGCACGAAGCCTAACCTGAGTACAGCAAGGATATACATTGTGGCTCTAGCGTGTGCGAATTACTAGCCAATTGGCTAAAAAGTTATCAATTTTAAGTCGTTTTGAAAATAGCTTTCAAATTTGCTGCAAAAAACTTTACGAATATTTATTTGTGCGATCTGAAAATTTTACAATATTAAATATTGGTATCTAGATTCTAGAAGTGTATTTATAAGGGATGCTATAGAACAGTTTTTTATATATACCTATATTATTCAAATACTTGCAGCATTAGTTTTGAAATTGGGGATTTCATTAAATAAAAGAAGACAATAATTTGAGAATTTTAAAATAATATTAAAAGGAAACTTTTTTATTTTTGTAACAGATGTTTTATATTTCCAATCTGTTCCAATGGACAATCAGCAAATTAAAATGGAAGAACATTGGCATTCGGATTTTGTATTATGTGTGACTTAGTAGGGAGATGGGTCGATAGAGGAGAGGAAGTTTAGTTTGTGCGATCGGTATTAAAATTTACAAATAAATTATTTCACAATTATGTATTTGTTTTGTGAATTCGCTCAACATTTTTGTCCGCATAGTTATGTCGATTACTGTATGGGCAACAAAGCCAACAAAGCAGTCGCAGACGCCACGGCACCAAGAATTGCTACAACAACAACAACAACAACAAGAACAACAACGACGACAGGAATACGCGCAGAGGAAGAAGAGCGAGTGGCAGAAGAAGAGGAAGAACCCCCCAATGAGTGCGCGTGCGCAACCGCTAATGCCGAAGTTGCCGCGAGCGACATGTTCCTCAAGAGCCACAGGCGCTGCTGCCCTCTCCTCCCCCTCCCCCCCCCCACACACACCACCACCCCCTCCTTTTTGTTTACAAAATAAGCCGCTGGCCCTGCCCCTCCTTCTCCCCCTCCACACAAGACGAGCTGACCTGTGCACGTCTGCAATTTGTTGAAGCAATACCCACTTCAATTGTTGTTACCTTTTGAGGTCGCGACGTGCAACATGCGCTCCATCGACCCCTCCCCCTCCCCCCTTCCCCCTCCCACACTTCCTTGCTGGACCGCAGCGCTTCCGTTTGACTGCCCAAGAGTTGAGTTGAGTTGAGTTCAGTTGAGGTCTGCGCTGCTCTTCTCTTCTCTTCTCTGCTCAGCTCCTGCCTTGGCTTGGCTGCATGTTGGGCTTTTGATTTATTGTTTTTGACATTTTTCTCTTTCTATGTGTGTGTGTGTGTGTGTTGTGTTATTTTTTCTTCAACTCTTATTATTATTCTCACTCATTTCGGTTTCAGTTACGTTTAAGGTTTTACGCGCTGTTTGTTTTCGTGCGTCGCTCACACAATGTTTCAAGTGCTTGCTTAATTTTCTTTTTCTTGTTTTTTTTTTATTTCTTATTTTTTTGGTCTCTTGAGCAGTAGCAGCAGCAGCAACAACAACAACAATAATAATAGAGGCTGCTCGTTATGTTTTATTTATAACGGATTTGTAGCCTGCCTTTGCATTTGCCAGTCGTAGATTGTTTATAAATATTTATATGCGTGTGTGTGTGTGTCCCCCTTCCCCCTGCGCACTCGACGCTTGTCTGGCGCGGACTGTGGGCTCTGGACTTGAAGCTCCTGCACGTCTCGTATTTGGCCTCTCCGTCTGCCCCTCTCGCTCTTTCTCCCTCTCTCCCTCTCCCTCTGTCTCTGTATATTTGTGTGTGTGTGTGTTTTTTTGAGTAGGGTTCAGAGCGCACTCGTAATGGAATTTTAATTTCATTTGTTTACGGAATTGCTCGGCCCAGCCACACACACACACACACACACACACACACATCAGTCGTCAACCCCTCCCCCCGCCCGCTCTCCGCACTCACTCCCAATAGCTCCACACAGCCACAATTTCAGTTTCAGTTTCAGCTTCGGTCGCCCCAATCCCCAATCAGACACACACTAAGCCTCAGATGTATTTTGACAAATTTGTGCAAAAGCCAAATGCTGGCACTAGTATGTGTGTTTCCCCATACTTGATTATTCAAGTCCTTAATTTCGGAATATCCTTCAGCTACTACACACAAAGCAAAGTTCATAGAAATACACACACATACAAGCAACACAAAGTCTTTGCCCAAACGGAGTCTTCTGTCTCTTCAGCTTAAAAGCATGCCAAACGAATTTTTCGCTCTCGCCCGAGATGTCCTTTTTGCTTGCCTTCTAGGCTATTATTTGCATTTATTTACTCGTTTATTACTCGCACAATGCAGTTTTATAAAAAGCGAAATCAAGCGAATGCGCAGAGTGGTCGATAGCAGTAATTTCATTTTTAACATTAACAGTACGCACAAAAATAATGTTGCCAAAACCAACAAGTAACTCCGTACAGTTAAAAATAAAACAAACAGCTGTCGGTGAAAAATTAAAATGTTCACCTTTTCCATCGGATTAGTAGATTATTTTCAATCGTCTACTATCTGCTTCTTTTGTTCATATGATTATTTTATTATTACAATTAAACAATATAC